AGATGTGGAAATACACTGGTCACTTGACCTACTTCAAGCTGGATGAAAATGTGTTATCTTATACCAAGGCTGATAAAAAGAATGTGATGCCACCTGTATAAAATAGGGAGTGTGTTTTTTTGCACGCTTGTGAATAGACGCTAGCTGACACGTTTTAGCCAAAAACTGTGACATTAATGATAAGGTTTCCCGGGAAAAAAACACTTCAGTGAGTATTTGACGAAAGCAGTTCTCAGCTTAAAATATCTTTGCAGTCAGTTGGATGAGGACTGATTTGGCCTGTCACCGAGGAGGAGGAGTAGATTCCTCACTGGCAACACCTGAAAGGAAAGGCAAGTGCTGAACAGAGAGTTTAGTGCTGAAGCAAATAGCTGTCAGGAGCTCAAAGCCAGGGTTCATAGTGTGAAGAAAAGGATACCAGGAGGCACAAGCAGTAAGACACCTAGATGCAGAATACATTTTTGGAGATGATAGATGAAATTTTCTAACTCTTTCCATTGGAATCAACCTTAGGAAGAGAAAAATGCTACAGTACAGTCAGTATCAGGACAAAACTGGAATCCTAGTGTGCTGAGGCTTCCTTTAATGGCAAAGACATGAAGGAGCTCCTTCTGCACAGGGCTCGGTGAAGTTTAGAGGAAATTCTAAAGCTGGTTAGAAGATTAGTTCTGTCTGCTGAAGAAAGGGAAATACTCTAATTGAACTCTCAGTGCACCAGGAGCTTAGTAAATGCCAGGCTTCCCAAGCAGTCCTCAAAATGTGCTAAAATGGGTCTGGTCACACCCTTCGGAATAAGGGAAGGGAAACGTGGTGGAAAGGCTTTCTGAGACTCATCTGCCTTGTGCTTCAGGGCATGGCATAGTCTGGCTCCACCTAATGCCTGGGCACATTGGAAACTGCTGCTTTACTGAAAGCTGCCTGACTCAGAGGAATACCATGAACATGTTTAAAAGGAGGAAATCAAGTTTATAACTAAACATTACAAGCCTTGTTTCTTTAGGAAATGAGAGTAAGAGTGTAATCTCTTGGTGTTCTTCCCTCCCCTAACAACTTTTTATGCCATTCATTAATTTCAACAGAAGCTGACAGTGGAGATCAATCTTTAAGCTACCTGGTTTCTGTGAGCTTCACGAAAATAAGTTCCATCTCTCCTTCCCACCTGTCTGTCAGTATTCTCATTAGGAAAGTGAGTGTCAGCTCAACCCTCATCAGTTACCAGATCATCTGTAGGTGGCAGCAATGGTATGAAGTGCCCTGATTGCTTCTGTCAGTTCAGTGCTTTTGTAGACATGGCAGAATCCAGTGTGAAAGCTAAAGCTGTAGGAGATCAGTCATTTTTAATTCTGCTGTCCATATTTAAAAGCAGTGTCACTTCAGGCACTGGTATGAGGAAACCATAAAGGTGATTAATATTTCATAATGAGGCTATTGGCACCTAATAAGCTATCCACTTCTGTGGACTCCTTACTAAAAATATTTAAGAACTTGGTGGTAAGTGTGACATTCAGTTTTAAATACATGCATTTGGATGCTAGATCCTTTGTCTAAATGAATTAATTGGAATTGATTGACCAATTGCCTTCCAAAGAAATAATCAAGGGGTAATCTTGTTGAAGACAAATGGACTACTTAGCCTGACTCAAATGTCAAAGGGTCAGATCTTGGTTTGAGAGCAGAGAATAATCTTGTGGTTACATTGGGACTGTTAAAATGAGAGAGGTGAGAGGGACTCATTCCAAAAAGGAAGTGAGTTTTTACTAGGTCTCTAAGTCAGAGGAGCCTGCAGCTGGCTGGTCCAGCAGCTTGACTATAACAGGCAGTGCAGAAGGGAAACTGTGCAGATGGGGAGGCAGAATCAGACCCGTTTTGGCATCATGCAACAAGGAAAGATAAGGTCACTTGAGCTATAGCTTGTAATTGATTCCTGATGTTGTGAGTTTTTAAAAAGAAAATGTAAAATTTTTTTGGCAAATGTGGGAATTAACTATGTGGATAATTCCTAATTAATGACCCTGAATCAGCTTTGAAAAGGGTATTGCAAACTTTAATGTCTCTGAGTATTTCCTAATGGTCAGCTAAAAGTTTATGATGTTTAGATGCAAACAGCATTTGGAAAATGTGTTGCTTCACATTACACTAATCCTTTTAAAAAAACTGGATCTGACTACCAGCTGTATGTTTACTCCATTTCTCTTCTGGATTATCTTAATTTCCATTTAAAGTACCAGATATAAAAGATGGTATCTGTAAGCATTAGGCTCCAGATCTTCAAAGACTTTTTTTTTTTTTCTTACTTCAGAACTAGAGCAATACAATAAATACCTGTTCAACAAGGTGCAGCTGAAGCTGGCTAAAGTTTCTCTCTCACTCCTAACTTTGTTTGCTTTTTGCTGAGTAAAATCTACTGGGGACAGACTGATCCCTTTTATTGGGGCAGACCGCAAACTGTTCTGCTAAAACAAAAATGTCTCCCAAATGGTTGGAAAAAAAAATCTTTTAAGTTGTCTTTTGAGTTATAAAAACCTAGAGTCTGCTTTATGGCAATTTCATTTCAAACTAACTTGTCTTTTTTTTTTTTTTTTTGGCGTCATTTTGGCATCATTTTTTGTGTCAATAACTTCTGCATTTATCAAGGTTTCATGTTTGTTGAAGAATGGGCTGTGGCTTAATGGTACATAATTCTGTATATTTGAAGAAATGTCTATGACAAACCAGCTGGAGCTTATGGATTGGTTCTTCAGTAACTCATCCTGATTGGAGAAACTTCTGTAAATGTTCTGATGCTACAGGTGATCTCCTCACCCTGATATACTAAACTTTGTTTTTAAGGTCAAGGCAGCTCATTGTGTGTAATCTGTAAGGATTTCCAAGCGAGGCAGAGTAAAAGACCTTAGATTTCAAATTATTTTGTAATATTCCTGCCTGTGTGTCGTGGCTTAGGAATGGTATTCTCCAATTTAGTACCCCCACTAAAAACCAGTCCCCCCTCCCCACCCCCACTTGCAGGTAGGCAAAGATCAGGGTCTTTGATGAAAACATCAATAAGACAAGAAAACGAACAGGAACAGCAACAGTATTTATAACAAAAAGTATTAGAAAAGAAACAATTCACAAAAATCCTGATCCTGGCTGAACCAAGGACATGATGAAAAAAAAGGAACATGACATAAAAGTATTGCAAGACTTTAAAAACTGCAAATGCCTTTTGGAATATGCAAATGAGCCTTTGTGTGTGTGTGTGTGTGTGTGTGTGTGAG